CCTGGAGCACAGAACGAAGCACATTGCTCTCCGCTACTTTCTTGCTCGTGAGCTGCAGCAGCGTGGTCAGTTGCGACTTGCGTACGTGGCCTCTGAGGCCAACACTGCTGATATCTTCACTAAGGCACTTGCGCCTTGTGATCATTAGCGCTTCTGTATTCAGCTTGGTCTTGTGCCTGCCTTGCCTCACTTGCTCACTTCTTGACCTTGTTTGTACTGTCACATATATTTACTCCTGCACTTGTTTGTTTAGCCTTTTATATATATATGTGTGCTCCTTCATGTGAACTGGCCTTATGGCCTTGAACTTGTGCTCGGAATGTGTGGTGACTTTGTGATCCACCCTTAGCTTTGCTTTGTTCTGCTTGACTTGTCTTGTGACCCCTTGTTCTTCCCCACTTTGCCTATGGGGGTGTGTCAAATCATAATGTTCTGTAGGCTGTAGTGGGGTAGCCTATATGGGGTACACATTTCTAGGGTTGCATATTTGTACCTTATTCCATTCCTTAGTGCACTCCTTCTCGTTTCAATTCTCACAACTGTTACTGCAGGAGGCACACGATGGGATTAGCTCGGGACATTTCGGGGTAGAAAAAACGCGACAGCAACTGCAGCGGTATTACTACTGGCCGGAGCTGTTGACCGACATGCAGCACCACGTGGGCTCGTGTCCTACGTGTTAGGTGATGAAGAGCTCGCGAAAAAGAAAGGCGGATCAGTTGCAGCCGACTCCACCGCCTGAGCGCGCCTGGCAGCAGGTTACCATGGATTTCGTCACAGGGTTATCTTCAAACCGTGGGGGTAATGACGCAGTTATGGTCGTCGTTGACAGGTTGACGAAGGTGGCACACTTCCCTACGTGCAAGAAATCGATCTCAGCCGAAGAAACCGCTCGCCTGTTCATCGCAGCCGTCGTTCGACTACATGGGATACCAGCCGCGATAATCAGTGACCGCGACACTTAGTTCACCAGCAATTTTTTGAAGAACCTCTGGGAACAGTTCGGGACCAGGCTACAGCTCAGCTCGTGGTACCACCCCGAGATCGACGGTCAAACGGAGCAGACGAATCAGACGATGGAGCAGTTGATTCGTGCCATGTGCGACGACTCGACAACTTGGGAGCAGCAGCTGCCGCTGATTGAGTTCGCGTACAACAACGCCACGTAAGTGACGACGCAGCAGTCCTCTTCTGCCTGAACTACGGGCAAACCCCTACAGTGCCCATGGCGCCGAGTCCGGACAACCCAACGCCACATGCACAACAATTCGCTGAAATTCTGCAAGCTACCCGCACCAGAGCCGCTGAAGCAATTAAAAAAAAACAAATGTCATCGCTAAGCGCAACGCTGACTGCCACCGCCGCCGAGTCACGTACCAGTCAGGCGATTACGTACTGCTCGACACACAGAACTTAAGACTACCCGCCATGTTACAATAGTAAGCATAGTGAGGACCCATAGCTAGGGTTTAGCTAGCTAGGCAAGAGAGAAATGAACAAAGGAGGGGTTTCACTAGCAGCAGTTGGGATACATATAGCAAACCCTAACAGGGTTGTACTCGCTATAGAGCACCCCACTACAGGCTAGATAATAACATTCTGACACACCCCCATAGCCAAAGTGGGGTGTAATCAGCAGAGCACGCAGTCATAGAGCAGGTTCACAATTGCAAGCAAAGCTAGAGGCTATCACAGAGGGCAAGTGAGGAGGAGGAGAGACTGTGGGGGCGAGAAGATGGGAGGCGACTGCTGAAGCTGCAGACACACAGGAGCTGCTGGCTCTGTGGCTACCGAAGCAAGGGCCCGGACTACGGGAGTAACTGGCTCCGCGGAGATTGTAGCCTCTAGACTGGAGCAACTGACCCACAGGCAACTGGCGACTACCGGAGATTGTAGCCTCCGGACTACTGGCGCTGCTGACGACACGACGGTTGCCTCCACTCAACCTCCCCCAGCTGCCCCACGCCCCTATCACACACCCCCTGCTGCACCCCTAGCTCGACTCCCACGACACCCCCCTAGCACCACTCCTTCGGCTCCCACACACCCACCCCCCTGAGCGGCAGCTGCAGCAGCGGGAGACGGAGGAGGAGTAGTGAAACGGCGCATAGAAATGCACCCCCATAACCCCCACCCCCAAACCCTAATTCAGGAGAACGGGCAGCAGCAGGGGTGGGGCGCCGTCAGAAGCACGGGGGGCAGCGGGCAGCTCAGGGGCAGAGAGGAACGGGCCACCCACGGGCCTGGCACAGCCAGACGAACCGTGCGCAGGCGGCCCAAGCCGCGCGCGGGCCTGGCGCAGCCCGTACGGGCCGCGCGCGGGCCGGGCGCAGCCCGTACGGGCCACGCTCAGGGCTAGCGCAGCCCGCGCTGGCCGGGACGGGCGACCGGGGACGACGGGCTGGTCCCCGTCGCCCGTCGAAGCGCCCCCCGGAGGCGACGCGCGGACCGGCAGGGCAGAAAGCCGCCGCGCGCCTCGGGGCGCACGGCGGGCAGAGAACTGCCGCACGCCCCGGAGCGCACGGCGGGCAGAAAACCGCCGCGCGCCTCGGGGCGCACGGCGGGCAGAAAACCGCCGCACGCTCCGAGCGCGCGGCGGGAAGAAAAATCCGTCGCACGCCACGGGGCGTGCAACACACAGAGTAGCAGCGGAAGCAGTTAGGTGGGCCCACAAGCCAGAAGCGTAAATGCTCTGAAACCATGTTACAATAGTAAGCACAGTGAGGAGCCATAGCTAGGGTTTAGCTAGCTAGGCAAGAGAGAAATGAACAAAGGAGGGGTTTCACTAGCAGCAGTTGGGATACATATAGCAAACCCTAACAGGGTTGTACTCGCTATAGAGCACCCCACTACAAGCTAGATAATAACATTCTGACACGTCATACCGAAATTATGACCCCGCTACTGTGGACCATTCCAAATCAGCCACATGATTACCCCAGTGACAGCCCACTTACTGTTGCCGTCAGACCGGTACATCAGCCCATCATTCCACGTCAGCCTGCTTCGCCCCTACACCCAACCACAAGCCAACTGCCTCGTCACCGCCTGCCATCCATGACTCGCCCTGCATCGGAGCCGATCATCGAGCCCGAAATAATCCTAAGCCATCGGATTCGACACCCCACGGGAATTAGGAGGATTGAATTCCTCGTTCGCTAGAAGGACCGCACGCGAACTGAGGATAGCTGGGTGCCCCTGGCCAACATCGAAAACCACCCTACCCTGCAAGTGTACCTGAGGAGCCAGGGTTTCCGCGATATACACGCACTCGCGTAGCGGAGGGGGCTTCTTGAGGGGGGGGGGGGGGTAGTGTAAGGAATTTTCTTGACATTCCTTAGCGCGCCCTGCACCATTGCGTGCAGCAACAGCCGTTGTTCGCCCGTTACTGCTAACGGGGCTTCGCCGACTTCGCGCACACTGTTTCACCAAACCTCGCACTTCTGGCCCGGCCGTGTCGGCCTACGCTTCGGGACTAGCCCAAGCCTCGCTGCCAGCGTAGCACTAGCTAGCTCGCACGTACCGCGTTACCGTTTGCATGTTTCGCGTATAAATGTTCGCTCATGCCTTCGCTCACATTTTGTACTCATTTGACACTTAGTGCTATCCTTGCTACCTTGATCTTGCACCCGTAACAATACATTACAGTCTACCAAGGGGTGGACCCCATGGTTGAGCTGGATGGGAGAGTACGGGGAGCGCTGGGGGCCCCAAGGATGAGACTTATGCGCTCACAGATATGCGACAGAGGGGAGCGTGCCGAGCTGAAACAGCTGAGAAAGGCAATGAAAACCCCAACAACACTGCCAAAGCAACAGCTATAGTGGGAAGAGGCGCTGGGGAAGAAGGTCGACTGGGGGAAGGCCATCCGAGTCAGGGCGAGGGAAATCATCCTGCGGACGCACAGTAACAATTTGCAAGTGGGAGAAAGGCTGCCTTTCGTGGGAGCAAGGGCACTTTGCATACACAATGGAGCCATCGCAACACAGGACCACTGTCTTTACAGCTGCACGACAATCCAGCCAGTGGTGGGAATGATGAAGGCAGCCGTACAGTGGATGAATCCGGGCAGGGAGGTGGAGTCCCTCGACGACATGCTCTTTTAGGAGGGCGGAATTTCCGAAGGCAACACTGATCTCAGCCACTGCGCACCCAGTCTGGCTGGAGCGATGTAACACGATCTTAAAACTAGGGTCTCACGTAGATCATTTGTATTGCAGTTGATGACTTCACCCTAGTTAGGATTGGTTGGCGAGGTGGAAAGAATGACGAGCGGTGTGACGAGGGGAGCGAAGGAAACACAAATCGCAGTTTGTGTCCGAACCATCAAGGCATGGGAACTGGTTCGGTGCCAAAGCTATAACACCAGCAAAATGTTTGAGCATCCCGTCAGTCTGATGTACCATCAAAATGTTTTGTAATTGCATCGCAGGCAAAAACGGGAGGTGTCGCACAGTCAAATGCCAAACCAACCCCTAGAGTTCGCCACCTCAAACAAGGTGACTCAGCTTCATTTGTTTTGCAGTTGATCACAATTTCTCTTACGTGAGACCCTGGTTTTAAGACGTGAAGATTTACAGCCGGGCTCGGAAACGGGCGGCGCACAAGAAGGGGACGTGTAACAAAGGTGATTGGAGCCATCTGGAGGCTGACGAGGCGAATGTCATGCGGAGGCTGTTTGAGTCGGAGGCCTCGATGACATGGCGAGCGGGTTCCAAAGCAATATGGGAGGACCGGAGAATCACCTTCCAGCCACCATAGAGGGGAGGGGGGTGGGGTTACTTCCTTAGAAGCTTTTTAGACACCCTCCTAGCTCCAGTTACGACCGCGGATGTGTGTATGCATGCTGTATACTTACATCCACAAAAAAAAAAAGGTTACAATCTACCAAGGGAAAGCTTACTAAGGTAAAGTACAATCCACCAATGGAAAGCCTACAAAGTAAAAATACACAAACTTTTGTGGTACAACCTTTTGAGGTGCCTTGAAAGCACGCACGCCTATCTTCGAGTGCAAAGCGAGAGCCCGACATATAGCCTATCATTGGTACACACGTATCCATTGTTCAGCTCTGCCAGCTTCCTCGCACTGTTCTGGAACTTGAGCGATATGATGCGCGCACAAAAGTCCCCCCGCGTCACTGAGTAAAACGCCAGGCACCGCTTCTTTGACACCGCCAGCTGGCGCCCTCTCATTGGTTGAGCGGAGGGAGAGGGGATGAGCAGTCTTCCTCGTGTTGAGAGAGACGAGGGAGAGGAAGAAGAGGAGGAAGAGGAGGAAGAAGAGGAGGAAGAGGAGGAGAAAGAAGAGGAAGAAGAGGAGGATTGGAAAGAGAGGGTAGGGGTGGAGGGAACGAGTGAGGAAGTGGAGAAGAGCTCACGGAGTAAGCGAGGGGTGGGTGAGCCCGAGGTTTCCACCAGGTATGCATCCACACACACCTGCGATGGCATATGGGGATGGGTGGGTGGGCGCGGAGCACAAAGGGGGGAAAATGAGCATGGGGTTTCCACCAGGTAAGCATCTACACACACCTGCGATGGCGCATGGGGATGGGTGGGTGGGCACGGAGGGTGAGATGGGTGAGTGCGTTTCATTGAGGGAGAGGAGAATGGGTTGAGCGGACTGGGGGTAACCACCAGGTATGCATCCCCACACACCTGCGATGGCCCAAGGGGATGGGTGGGCGGGTGTGGAGGGTGGGGGGAGAGACTGGGTCGACGAGCCTGGGGATCGAGGTGTGTGTGGATGCCTACCTAGTGGATACCTCGGTGCTTAACCTCACGATCTCTCCACTGGGAATGTATGCACACACACCTGCAACGGCCCATGGGGATGGGTGGGTGGGCGTGGAGGGTGTTTCCTTTTTGCTTCCTTGGGTGTAGCCAGCAAGTTTAAGGATGGATGGGTACGTTTTAGTGGATGGGCCCGAGGTTTTCACCAGGTATGCATCTGCATGCGCCAAGTGTGTTTTGAGTCAACTCAAAACACACCTGGTTTAGTGGGGGGAGAGATTGGGTGGATGGGCCCGGGGTTTCCACCAGGTATGCATCCCACACGCGTCAGATCTCCCTTCACTACCGCATCCCACCCCTCACCTGCATCCCACCCCTCACCTGCTCCCCACCGCTCACCTGCACAACACCCCCACTCCAGCCGAGGCTGCTGCCCCCAACAGATGCGAAGAGGCTGTCGCAGCCCACGCCCGGGTTGAGTGAGAAGAAGGCGGTTTGGTTGAGAGAGAAATCCGTCATGATGCTCTCGCATGTGTCCCCCGACTGCACCGTGTACCATGCCGTGCACATGGGTAGCGTAGGCACGTTTCCTCCGCCACTGCCCTTCGCCACACACAGCTGTGAGGAAAGAGGTGGGAAGAGGGAAGAAGAGAGAGGAGAGTAAGAAGGGGTTTGACGAGGCATGTTGCCCCCGTATGTGCCCCTGCCGCGCACAGTGTACTATGCCGTGCGAGTGGGCAGCCTGGGCAGGCGTTCCCCCATCAGCCACGAGTTAAAAGTGCTGTTTTGAGACATCTCAAACCAGCACTTTTTATATCCCGTGCATGTGGGCAGCCTGGGCAGGTCTGCCCCCCCATTACCCTCCATCAAGCACACTTGCAGGGCGGAGAAAAGGAGAGAAAAATAGCGTGTGGTGTTGGGAATGGGTGTGAGGGCCTTTTGAGCGGACTCAAAAGAAGGTCTGTCCCCCATTACCCTCCAACAAACACACTTGCAGGGCGGAGAAAAGGAGAGAAAAAGATCGTGTGATGCTGGGAATGAGTGTGAGCGAGGTGCACAGTTAACCCCAGATTGGTTGAACCCCACTGGCAGATCTATTGCCTGCCCACACGCGTCCACCACACCGCCGAGCACCGCACTGCACTGCATCTCACCTGCTGGATCACAGTCGGAGCGTTCCAGGCGGTGCAATCCGTGCAGTTGATTCCGGGGTTGAGCGTCAGAAAGTCGTCCACTGTGAGCCAGAAACTGTCCGCCACGCCCTCACACGTGTCATTTTCCGTCCACGAGTAGTAGAGCGCACAGTACACGGCCCCCTTGAGGGGTGGTGCCACGCTCACTACCGTGTTGGCAGGGATGGTCTCACAGTGGTCGATTCCCTGCGATTCAAAAGGTGAAGGCAGGGGTTGGGTGTGGTGTGGTGTGGTGGGGTGGGTGTCACTCAAAGCACACGTTCAAGTCTCTTGCACGCTCAGTGGGAGGCCGCAGGGTGGAGGATGCGAGCAGTTGGGACAGTGCGAGCACGCAGGAGATAAGAAGAGATCACAATTGCAACGTTCTCCCTGCCTCCCAGCCTCACCTCCCAGGCTCGCCTCCCAGCCTCGCCTCCCAGCCTCGCCTCCCAGCCTCGCCTCCCAGCCTCGCCTCCCAGCCTCGCCTCCCAGCCTCGCCTCCCAGCCTCGCCTCCCAGCCTCACCTCCCAGCCTCGCCTCCCAGCCTCGCCTCCCAGCCTCGCCTCCCAGATCAGCCTCCCAGCTCTCAAGATACTCCCAGCCTCCCAGCTTCCAGCTCACCAGGTTGAGGTTCTGAGCGAGAAACGCCTCCTCCGTGAGGCCGTAGAGCTGGTAGACTAGCGGACAGCTGATGTATATTGGGAAGATGACGGTGTAGGAGGGGTTGGAGGCTGCGGGAATGCAGGGAAGCAAGGAGGAAAAAAAAAAAAAATTCCAAATAAATCGGGAAGTAGGGGGAGGAGGAGAGGTGAGAAAGAGGAGGAGGGGCGAGAAAGAGGAGGAGGGGCGAGAAAGAGGAGGAGGGGCGAGAAAGAGGAGACGCGATTGAGAAGTGCGAAGAACACACGAGAGATGAAGATGCAGTGATGGTTCAGAAGTAACCTGTGCATACATGGGATGAAATGGATGTGCTTTGCGGTGCATTCATGAGATGTGTTGGATGTAATTTGCTGCCGCTCCTAAAGAAACATGAATTGCAAAAGGACAAGAGGAGCCATCCACTTGAACACATATAGGGACGCATATAAGAACAAGGGTAAGAAAAGACAAGATTAGCCGCCCGCTTGAACACTCACCTGGGACACATGTGCGAGCGCCGTTGGGGCGGTACCCCTGATCGAATCCCGGCGGACAGAGACAAAAGAAGCCGCCCGCATTGTCGTTGATGCACGTGCCGACCACACATGGGTTTTCGTCCTGCTGGCTGCACACGTCGGCTGGCAGGGGCAAGTGGGGGAGGGCGAGGTGGGGGGGGAAGGGGGGGGGGGGGGGGAAGGGGGAAAAAAGAGGCGCAAGGGGAGTTGGAGACTGTCGTCCTTTGGCTGCACATGCCAGCTGGCAGGCAGGGAGCGAGTGGGCGGAGGGGCAAGGGGAGGGGAAAAGGTACAAGGGGGGAGTGGGGGGAGGGAAGGAGAAGAGGGGCCAGGGGAGGGAAAAAGGTGCAGGAGAAGGGGAAGAGGCGCAAGGGGAGCTTTTATTAGGCGGGGCAGGAAGAGGAGGGAGGGGCGATGGGGGGTGCAGGAGAGGTCAGTGTAAGGTCATGGGGTATGATGGGAAGGGGGGGAAGATGATGATGCATGGCATGTGGGGAAAAAGTAGTGTGAGCTTCATGTTCCCAATAAGGTCGTTTTTGAGGCGCCTCAAAAAGTAGTGTGAGCTTCATGTTCCCAAGAAGGTCGTTTTTGAGGCGCCTCAAAAAGTAGTGTGAGCTTCATGTTCCCAATAAGGTCGTTTTTGAGGCGCCTCAAAAAGTAGTGTGAGCTTCATGTTCCCAATAAGGTCGTTTTTGAGGCGCCTCAAAAAGTAGTGTGAGCTTCATGTTCCCAATAAGGTCGTTCTTGAGGCGCCTCAAAAAGTAGTGTGAGCTTCATGTTCCCAATAAGGTCGTTTTTGAGGCGCCTCAAAAAGTAGTGTGAGCTTCATGTTCCCAATAAGGTCGTTTTTGAGGCGCCTCAAAAAGTAGTGTGAGCTTCATGTTCCCAATAAGGTCGTTTTTGAGGCGCCTCAAAAAGTAGTGTGAGCTTCATGTTCCCAAAGCACATACGCGTGGGCGCCACTCACCGAACACACACGTCTGGGCGCCACCCTTGTCGGCGACGGGAATGAAGAGCGAGTCCAGGCACGAGCACGTGTAGAAGCTATCCATCACCTCCTCGCACGTGCCCCCCCCACATGGGTTCTGCAGTGACTGGCACAGCTTGGGCGCTGGTGTGGGGGGGAGGGGGAGGGGGGAGGGGGGGAGAAGGGGGAGTGGGGAGAGGGGGGAGAGGGGAGAGTGGGGAGAGTGAAGAGAGGAAGAGTGGGGAGGGGGGAAAAGGGGAGAGGACTCGTGAGGCGGCTCAAAAGAGTGGGTCCAGGCACGAGCACGAGTAGAACTTTCTCACTGCATTGAGGTGATTTTTGAGGCGCCTCAAACATCAGGTGTGATCCATGTGTAGAACTTCCTCACATGGGAGCCATCACTGCCCCACATGGGAGCCATCACTGCCCCACATGAAAACCATCACTACCCCACATGGGAGCCATCACTGCCCCCCATGGGAGCCATCACTGCCCCACATGGGAGCCATCACTGCCCCACATGGGATCCATCACTGCCCCACATGGGAGCCATCACTGCCCCCCATGGGATCCATCCCTGCCCCCCATGGAATCCATCATTGCCCCCCATGGGAGCCATCACTGCTCCCCATGGGATCCATTACTGCCCCCCATGGGATCCATCACTGCCCCCCATGGGAGCCATCACTGCCCCACATGGGAGCCTGCACTGTCGCCTGCACTGTCGCCTGCACTGCTTTTGAGGCGCCTCAAAAGTTGTCGCCTGCACTGCCACCTGCACTGTCGCCTGCGTTGCCGCCTGCACCGCTGCCTGCACTGCCGTGATAATCTGTCCCACTGCAGCGCATCATCAGCACCCTACCTTACGTTGACAGCAAGCATCAGACCGAGCCAGCCATGATAGTCCACCTGGTCGTCCCCGTTGCTCAGCTCACCAGCACGTGCCCTGACTAGTTTTGAGGCGCCTCAAAACTAGATTGCTCAGCTCACCAGCACGTGCCCTGACGTAACGTGGTAACTAGTCGGCTTATGTGCTTATGTTGACAGCGAGGCTTACGTTGACAGCGAGGAGAAGGCCAAGCCAGCCGTAGTAGTCCACCTGGTCGTACCCCATCACGCCTATGGTCGTCGCCTGCTGCTTCGCCTGAGGGGGGGGGAGAGACAGGGCACGGGCACATGGGCAAGGGCGCATGGGTATGGTCGCATGGGCATGCGCACATGGGCATGGGTATGGGTATGGGTATGGGTATGGGCATGGGCACATGAGCATGGGCATAGGCACATGGGCATGAGCATGGGCATGGGCACATGGGCACATGGGTATGGGTATGGGCATGGGCATATGGGCATGGGCACGGGCATGGGCATGGGCATGGGCATGGGCATGGGCATGGGCATGGGCATGGGCATGGGCACATGGGTATGGGCATGGGCACGGGCATGCGCATGGGCATGCGTATGGGCATGGGCATGGGCATGGGCACATGGGCACATGGGCACATGGGTATGGGTATGGGCATGGGCATATCGGTATGGGCATGGGCACGGGCATGGGCATGGCCATGGGCATGGGCATGGGCATGGGCATGGGCATGGGCATGGGCACATGGGTATGGGCATGGGCACAGGCATGCGCATGGGCATGCGTATGGGCATGGGCATGGGCATGGGCACATGGGCACATGGGTATGGGTATGGGCATGGGCATGGGCATATGGGTATGGGCATGGGCATGGGCATGGGAATGGGCACGGGCACGGGCACATGGACATGAACGGCTCATCTCTCTCCTGCTGCAAGGCATTGCGGAACGAACGGACAGGAGCCTCTCGCGACAAAGATGTGCGCCATCATGAAGCATCATACCTGCCCCTGGTGTACCTGCCCCAAGCATTATACCTGCCCCGGTTGTACCTGCCCCTGTTGCAGTTGCCGCCCTTCTGCGTGTACGCGCACCCAGCCTCGGCGGCAAGCCCCCCCACGTCAGCGTGCTTTCCCCCAGGCATACCTCCCCCAGGCATACCTCCCCCAGGCATACCTCCCCCAGGAATACCTCCCCCAGGCATACCTCCCCCAGGCATACCTCCCCCAGGCATGCCTTTCCCCTGTTGCATTTGCCGTCCTTCTGCGTGTACACGTAACCAGACTCGCTCGCAAGCCCCCCCCACTGCATCGTGGCGTCCACCATGTAGTCCAGCGCTGCCGTCGGCCACCCGCTCGCCACACAGCTGCTGCTCGTGCTGTTCCTGCAGTCTAGTATCTGCGGGATTTGGGGGCCGGGAAACGACATAGGGGAGGGGGGTGAGTGAAGCTGCTGGTGCAAGTTGGCGGACCAGAGCACAGAGCTGTCGCAATAAGAGCGCCCCCCCCCCCCCCTTCCCCCCCCCTTTTACCCCCCCCGCCCCCTTCCCTTACCTGCGCATTGTGTAACTGCGCAGATTAAAGCCCGTGCTTAAGTAGTAACTTAGCTTCCGCACCTGCTGTACTGATAAGCGTTGTGGGGGATCCATGGAGGGCGTCGAGGCAGCCACTAACGCGTACGCCATTTCCACTGCGCTCACTGCTGTGATGGCCCATGATGCCTCTGGGGAGTAGAAAGGGTAAGGGGAGGGGAAGGGGGGAAGGGGAGGGGAAATGAGGAGAAGGGACAATATGGTTTTCTGTGGGAAAAGCAAGGTCGTGTCTTGGTGAGAAATGCCTAAGCCGGCGGAATGAGAGAAAAAAAAAAATCTTTCATTAGTAGGAAGGAATATAAACCTCACTCTACTCTCCTCTTACCCCCGAAAATCTACCTGCCTGCCGTCGCCCCTCCCCCTCTCCTTCCCCCTCCCCCTCTACCCCCAGCACATGCGCGCCCGCCTGCGTGATCACGTTGTTCTCTGCGTGTGCTCGCTTGCGCGAGACAGCGCGGGCCTGCGCGAGCAAGCGCGTGCATGCCGCGTGCCAGCGCGTGTATTTGCCCTTAAAAATTCCTCGAGAAAAAAAAAAAGCCCACGGCGCCACACTCACTGCATTTGCCTTCGGTGCGCAGCGCGAGAACCGGCTCGATGCGCGGGTTCGTTAGGCGCGGGTCCTCGGCCCAGTTGCGACCGAGCGTGAAAAGGCCACTTAGGACATCCCCCGTCGCCGAATCGTAGAGGCTGCTAATGAGCCGAAAGAACCGGTTCGCATACTTTGGAGAACACGAGGCCAGAGCGGGATTCGCGCTGCATGGATAGCTCGGGACTGCTCACTTTCGAGGGGCTGGTCAGATGACATGGTCAAAAGGGCCCTGGACAGACGGGGGACAGACGAGGAAAGGGGGAGCGGGAAGGGAGGGTAACGGAGGGGAGTGGGAAAGAAGAGGGTCAGGGGAGAAAGGGACGGGATCTAGAACCTTAACTGTTTTGGAGAGATGGACGGTATGTTGTTTTTATTCCAGAACTTCTGGTAGCGATGCAAGTATTACGCCAGTTCGCCTTGTGAGGCGACAAAGAGTCACCTCGGAAGGGAGGGAGCGAGGGGGAGGGACTTGGAGGTTGCTGCTTCATGCAATAACATGGTGAGAAGGGCGACTCTTGGACTTTGGAACGACTCAAAGTCGAATCGAGTGGATGGAGGAGCGGGAGGAAGGGAAAGGAGGAAGGGGCCGGAGAGATTGTTGCCTCGCATGCGCGAGTCGCGATCGGACAAGGGAAGAAACGGAAGGCAAGGACGGTAGAAAGAAGGGACGCCGCATGACTAACCTGCGACTGCGACACTGCTGCTCGCGAGCAGCGCGGCGAGAAGCACGATCACCGCGTAGCACGCCTTCCGGGACGCGAAAAGGTCTCTATTGTTGGTAGGCATTGCCAATGGACGGCGACGCTTGGGAGGGAGGAGTTTCCCTCCGCCGCGCGCGGCGGCGCGTGGGAGTGTGAGCATGGTGTTCGATTGTGAAAAGCAGCGCTATTGAGCAGCCGCCGCGTGGGCGTAACAAAGGCCGTGAATACTCCGCAGCTGTGCGCACAGAAAGGGGGGCTTGATCTGTTCGCTGTAGTCTCGTCGGCGCACGCTGCTCGTCGGTTTGTTATTATCGAGTCGATAGTTGACACTGCTGCCTCGGAGGTGACTTTTTGGATAGTCGTTGACTCAAGTCTTCGATCACAGGACGACGCAATTTCCGAGACGCCTAGAGATCTTAGCCACTGGATGGGGTACTTCGTGAGGCGCCTGGAAATCTTGGATCGCTTGGATGGGACCTTCTCGACGCGCAGCGGTTTGAAATGTAATTCCCTGCTTTAGTATATCGTGTTCGTGATCATACGCCTGCTCGTCATGAGCACAGTCATTAGACAGCTCCTGGTATGGCTTCCGAAGGAAGCACAAGAGAATTGCGGGTGGCAAATGGGAAAGGGAAAGAAGCTGCTCACTCGTGGCCTGCTCGTGTATGCTCTTCCGAATAAATTCATTCGCGGAAAGTTGAATTTGGAGCAGCGTTTTTTTCAACTCATCCACGCCTCTTTGGTCTCTCCCTCCCCTCCGCTCCCCCTTCCCTCCCCGTCCCGTCATACACGTCCTTCTCGGCCTTAAAGCCCAAGATTAGCATGGTTTTTGCAACAGTGACGCGGGGGCTTTAATCGTGCTCGCGAAAGGCATAAAAAAAACATTTCGAGAACTGAACAGGTGCGAAAGCGAAACCAGGCAGCGACGAGCTTCAGGATTCGTCACCCAACTGTGTGACACTGCACCACGAGTTTGGTGCTTGGAGGGGGTTAGGGCGCGTGAGGTCTTTGAAATTTGTAAAAGTTTATGTTTTTAGGGCGGATTTTAGTTTAGAACTTACAACGAAAGAAGTTAGAATATCCTTCTATCTAAGTTCGAACATCGGGCTTACCACACTGTTAAAAATCACACACACATACAAGGTCTAACCCCGACATTCGAACTTGTAAAAACGAGCCGAGCCGCACATCAACATCATAGGTTACCCGGTTCGCTCGTCTTGACGGTGCGCCACGTCAACATTTTGCGCCTCGGTTTACAAGGACCTAAAGCTCCAACTCACCTTCCGTGCCGAGTGTGTAACCAGGGTACAAATAGCCCCAATGGCAACACCTTGTATGCTGGACACGTGGCTACAACAGTGTGCACGAATTGTGGGGTGTCTTCGTTGTGCAACATCATGCACTGGCGAAGCGCTCGCCCGTTTCGCCAGCTGTTCGGACGTGCTGCAAATCACACACGCTCGCATGAACGTGCGCACGCACGTTCGCGCCTCCGACTCGAGTCAAGTTCATATTTCAAACTCGAACTTTTGCAGAGCCCATACAATGCTTGGTTCGCGAAGCACCCTTCGCGAAATTAGCGAAGAGGGTACCACCCAAAGTTCGAACTTTATTTTAAACTTCTAAACAGACCACACGCGCCCTTAGAAAGCGAAGCCATGTGCATACATTGGTTTGAAAATGCACGCTACTCGTCGCCGTCGCCTACGTTCACTCCCCTCCGTCGCCCACACGACCATTCTCCCGTCAATGTCTCACACTTCCCTCCATCGCCATAGCTCACTCCCTCCCATCGCCCTCGCGCACTCCCCTCCCGTCGCCTTCGCGCACTTCCCTCCCGTCGCCTTCGCGCACACCTTTCCCGTCGCCTTCGCGCACTCCCCTCCCGTCACCTTCGCACACTCCCCTCCAAAGAGGATGATCACTCCCTCCCGTCGCCCACGCTTCCTTCCTGACGCACGATCACGCTCCCTCCCCTCCCGCTGCCTTCGCGCGACGCCTCTTTCGCCCCTCCTCACTCTCTTCCGTCGCCCACGCTCACTCCCTCCCGTCGCCCACGCTCACTCCCCTCCCGTCGCCCACGCTCACTCCCCTCCCGTCGCCCACGCTCACTCCCCTCCCGTCGCCCACGCTCACTCCCCTTACGTCATGTACGCGCACACCCATCCGTCACTACTAACGCTCTCTCCCTCCCGTCTCCCACGCTCCCTCCCTCTAACGAGAACGGGGACTCCCCGCGCCTTGCAACTCTCCTTCCTCCTGCTACGCCACACCCCACACTCTCGTCTCCCCATCCCTCATCTCCCCTTCCCTCGTCTCCCCATCCCTCATCTCCCCTTCCCTCGTCTCCCCATCCCTCATCTCCCCTTCCCTCGTCTCCCCATCCCTCATCTCCCCTTCCCTCATCTCTCCATCCCTCGTCTCCCCATCCCTCACCTCCCCATGCCTCACCTCCTCATCGCTCATCTCCCCATCCCTCATCTCCCCTTCCCTCACCTCCCCGTCCCTCATCTCCCCATCCCGCATCTCCCCATCCCTCATCTCCCCATCCCTCATCTCCCCATCCCTCACCTCCCCATCTCTCACCTCCCCATCCCTCATCTCCCCATCCCTCATCTCCCCATCTCTCACCTCCCCATCCCTCATCTCCCCATGCCTCACCCCATCTCCACCGCACCCCGTGGCATCGTCACACGTCGCCATTTCCCACCTCTTCCTACTTCCCATCCCCCTCTTCCGCCCTTCCTCCCCCCTTCTCTCAATCCCTTCCTCTCGCCCTGCCATCCTACTTCCCATCCCCCTTTCCTCGTTTCCCCAGACCTCCTTTCCCCATCCCGTCATTCACTCTCCCTCCGTTCCCCATCCTTCCATTCCCCATGCCTACTTTCACCATTCCACCATACCCCATTCACCATACTCCTACCCCCATCTCCTCCTCACCCCATCTCCTCCTATACACATCCGCTTCTTTCCCCTTCCCTCGTCACCGCGTCCCCTCCTCTCCCCATCCCCTCCTCTCACCATCTCTTCTCCCCACCCCCTTCCGTCCTCTCCCCATCCGCCCATCCCACCTCACCACTTCCCTCCTCTTCCCATCCATCCTCTCCCCATCCCTCCCCATCCGTCCTTTCCCCATCCGATCCTCTCACCCTCCCCTCCAGGTTTTTCCCACACCGCCCTCGGCCCAGCGGCACCTATTCATCCCTTGTGCTTTTCTGCACCAGGGAGCTGCTTGGGGCGCTGTGGGTGGATGGCGGTGGGCAGAGTCACACAGCATAGGCAGACGTGGTGCTGCCTGTCCTCCCTTTCCCCCGTCCTCCCTCCCCATCCATCCTTCCCTTCCTCTGTTCCTCTCTTCCTCCATACGTCCCTTCCTCCGTTTCTCTATCCCTCTTTTCCCCTGGTCGTCCTTCTGTTTGTCTCCTACCGTTCCAGAGTGTCTTCTTATTTCTTCCTCTTCGTTTTGCTTTCTTGTCAGTTGTCATTCTTTTGTATGCTTACCGGCTGGAATGTTGGTTGTTTGATAGTACCACTAGGTATGATACATGGCTGTGGGAATGTTGTACCGGTATGTTTATTATTATAACTAAATTTTGATCCATAGAGTAGAGTGACTATTGACCACCTACGAAGTGCAACAATCTAGTAAAAAAGGACCGAGTTACTATGCCTTTTCCCACTCTTGTCTGCATACACAGCAGCGAAAAAGCAGGACTTGTGGGTCCCTCCCTACACCTGGTGCTGGGGACCTGTACAGAATGGGCAGGAAAAAACAGAGTGCAGGGGAGACATTGAGCAAGGGGGAAAGAGAGTGAGGAGGGGGGAAGAGAGTGAGAAGGGGGGAAAGGGAGTGAGCAGGGGGAAAGAGGGTGGGCATGGGGGAAGGGAGTGCACAGGGGGGGAACAGAATGAGCAAGGGGGAACAGAATGAGCAAGGGGGAACAGAATGAGCAAGGGGGAACAGAATGAGCAAGGGGGAACAGAATGAGCAAGGGGAAACAGCATGAGCAAGGGGAAACAGAATGAGCAGCGGGGAAGAGAATGAGCAATGGGAAAACCGAGTGAGCAAGGGGGAAACGGAGTGAGGAGGTGAGAAGAGAGAGAGCAAGGGGGGAGAGAGCAGGGGGGAATAGAGCAGGGGGGGATAGAGCAGGGGGGGATAGCGCAGGGGGGATAGAGCAGGGGGGGATAGAGCAGGGGGGGATAGAGCAGGGGGGAATAGAGCAGGGGGGATTATAGCAGGGGGGGAATAGAGCAGGGGGGAATAGAGCAGGGGGGGATAGAGCAGGGGGGGATAGAGCAGGGGGGAATAGAGCAGGGGGGGATAGAGCAGGGGGGGATAGAGCAGGGGGGGATAGAGCAGGGGGGGATAGAGCAGGGGGGAATAGAGCAGGGGGGATTATAGCAGGGGGGAATAGAGCAGGGGGGAATAGAGCAGGGGGGGATAGAGCAGGGGGGAATAGAGCAGGGGGGATTATAGCAGGGGGGAATAGAGCAGGGGGGAATAGAGCAGGGGGGAATAGAGCGGGGGGGAATAGAGCAGGGGGGGACAGAACAGGGGGGATACGAGTGAGGAGGAGAGAGTGAGCAGGGTGGAACAGAGCAGGGGGAATAGAGCAGGGGGGAATTGAGTGAGGAGAGAGTGAGCAGGGGGGAACAGAGTGAGGAAGGGGGGGGAGAATGAGGAAGGGGGAAGAGAGTGAGCAGAGGGAAAGAGAGTGAGCAGGGGGAAAGCGAGGTCGACGGGAGGGGGAAAGCGAGGTCGACGGGAGGGGGAGAGCGAGGGCGACGGGAGGGGGAAAGCGATGGAAACGGGAGGGGGAAAAGCACGGAAGGGGATGGGGGGAAGCAGGGAGGGGGATGGGGGGAAGCAGGGAAAGGGACATGGGGAAGTAGGGAAGGGGATGGGGGGTAGCAGGGAAGGGGATGGGGGGAAAGCAGGGAAGGGGACATGGGGAAGCAGGGAATGGGATGGGGGGAAGCAGGGAAGGAAAAAGGGGGAAGTAGGGAAGGGGATGGGGGGAAGAAGGGAAGGGGATGGGGGGAAGCAGGGAAGGGGATGGGGGGAAGCAGGGAAAGGAACATGGGAAAGCAGGGAAAGGGAAAGGAAGGGTGTGTGCGGGTTGGAAAGGGGGCGTGACAAGTGTGGGAGTTGGGAAGGGAGAAGGGAGGGATGGCGACAGTGACGGAGATGCCAGGGCGACGAGGGGAGAGAGATACGGGGATTGCGAGGGGACGAGCGGGAGGAAGGGCGATGAGCAGCAGGGAGCGCGACGAGACTAAGGGGGGCAACGGGCGGAAGGGAGCGCGACGAGGGGAAGGTAGGGCGGCGGGTGGTCGGGAGGGCAATGGGAGGAAGGGAGGGCGACGAGACGAAGGGAGGGTGACGGGCGGAAGGGATGGCGACGGCGAAAGGGAGGGCGACGGGCGGAAGGCATGGCGACGGGCGACGGGCGGAATCTATGGCGACGGCGGAAGGGAGGGCGACGGGCGGAAGGGAGGGCGACGGGCGGAAGGGATGGCGACGGCGGAAGTGAGTGCGACGGGCGGAAGGGAAGGTGACGGGCGGAAGGGAGGGCGACGGCGGAAGTGAGTGCGACGTGCGCTAGGGAGAGCGACGGGCAGTAGGGCGACGGCAGGAGGGAGTTTGATGGGCGTAAGAGAGTGCGACGAGCGGAAGGGAGTGCAGGCGTGCGGAAGGGAGTGCGACGGGCGGAAGCGGGTGCGTCGAACGTACATGTGAGGCTAGCGCCCGATCCGTGCGCTTGATCCGTGCGCTTCGAACGTACTTGCGAGCGCCATCGTCCCTGTAGAATTGGGGCGTGACGCATGACGTTTTTCTTTAGGCTGGCTGATATTATTTTTGTTGGAGGTAAAAACCAACAGACTGCTGCAAGGATATAGACATCTCGTTGCCATTGTTTAAAAGCGATACTACGCACTCTTGTGGTCCTGAACAGCGGAGCGCCCTATGTGTCCTAGACTCAATATGGCTGCACATGAGTACAACTCGGTTTTCAAGTTTACTGAATGTGAACAGTGGTCCAACTCCCGTTGACACTTCACGTGGAATACTTTTTTTTGGTCGCTGGCCAATCATGCATCAGAGTTGTGAAGCATCTCCTCCGTGAGGCGACGGAAAGCTGCACTTCGGGTGGTAACCTGGTTTTTGGCGAGTTCATGCTCAAGAATCTTGAATTTGAAAAATGCCATGTGGAACTCGGGCTTTAAATAGCGGCACTGACTAAGTTGAGATGTTGCCTGCATCTCGGTTCTGCTCAGTAAGATGCCAGGATGGAGCGGAAAAAGCGGAAGACATATTTTCATACACGTGCAGCCGTACAGTATTTAGCAGAATCAGCTCTACCGAACAGCATATTTAGCTGACCGTCTCTAGGTTTTGTAAGAATACTGCGGCTGGAGGAAAAAACATGTGAAATACCGTGGCGCTGAATGTCGAGTGTTTATTGGCTGTTCCGACAGAGGCTTGTGGTGGCTGCGCAGGTAGATCTCGGTGGACAAAACCTAGTGGGAGAAGATCATACAGAGGCCGAACAGTGCCAGGAAGGTGTTCGAACAAGGGCCAAGAGGCCCGGAACTACCCAAACCATTGCTTTAAAAGTTGTTGACAGAAAGATATCATTGAATGAACGTATGTCTGTTAACAATTTGCATTTACGCTCGCGCGTCATTCTACATGGAAATGTTTACCGATTCATCACCTTCCACCCAATAGCGTCGTTTAGCAAGCCGGAAACTCTTAGGGCAGCCAAAAAAACTAAAGCCCCGAGGAGAACCTGGATGCGTTTTCGGGATGGATCAACCCTAAAAACGGGAACCTTCGTTGTTTTTAGGGTTGATGCCTCCCTAGTCGCATACATTTCCGAATGGGTAATATTTTTTTTTCTGCGCGTTTCCGATCAGGGGGTGATATTTATCACCCATAATGAATTTGTTTTCGGACTCACAAATTAACACAGCAATATTTACTTCCAGAAGAACGCGATGTGCGCGTAGTAGTAGACGGCGATCGTAACTAATGTTTTAATAAGTTGGATACAAAGTTTGGTGCTGGTAGCTTTTCTCTTTTAGTCACGGCTCGGCTTGTTCGCCTAGCCTCTTGGGCAGCTCGGGGTAAAAAATCCTACGGTTGAGATTTTCTGGCCCTACTACGTCATTCTTCTGGCACTCTTCGGCCCCATTTTGATCATCTCCCAAACCTGGTCACGAAAACCAAATATTGCTGAGACAAGTTAAGACTGAGGATGTATGCACTGTCACTAGTGTATTAACTTTCAAAAAAAAAATTGCTGAGACAATATGGTGTAAGTGTTTTGCAATGCATATGCATGAAAAGGAACTCACAAAGCAACATCTCAAACAGGAAAGTGATGCTGCCAATGTGGGGTTAATATCCAAACCCAGAATGTTGACTTGACAGGTCGTGCGACCTCTCTCCCTGCATGCACCTCACACTCCGTTTCATGTTAGCTGGGAGCTAATAAGCTTGCATGGAGCTACACCTGGTCAGCTTACCAATATCACTGCTCGTATCGGCCAACATGAATCTCCTAACCGTTCACTCTCTCGGAATTCACGTGGGCTCCACAGCTTCCGTGTCGCGTGAGTCGCGGCCTGGACCACGCACCACAAGGCGCTCTTTCCAAAAACTAGGGTTTGCCTACAATAGAAATTCGGGGATTTTTGCAGACAGCCGATTTTCGTGTATTCTTAAAGTACCAACGCACCATCCTCTCGTTCCTTAGCGGCGTTTCTTACAAAAACTTTTGTGCCCTTTCACGAAGTATTCTGAAACAGTAATATTTGGCACCGTTTCAAACAGTTGAGGAGAAGCCTCATGGGGAGTTTCTTACAAACGTGCGTTAAAGCGGGCGCTCTAGGTGTAGCAGTGCCAGATGGTTCTAGTGGAAGCATGGCATCCGTCTGGCTCTTCATGCTACTGCTGTGCATATCCTGTTTCAACACTCGCGGTGCTCGTGATGCTCCTTCTGCCGCAACTGCTGGCGCTACTTCATCTGCTGCATATCCGAGCTATGGCGGAGTCGGGATGTGCGTTCACTGTGGTGGCATGTCCTGGTGGGCCTCACTTATCATCGCCATAGTGTGCCTCGCTTTTATTGTTACGCTCTTCTGCCTTCTGTATCAAGTCATCCGTGTGGGTCTAAGGCGTTGGCGGCAACGCAAGCAGATTCAGCATCATCAGCATCAGGAGGAGAATCTGCACCAGCACCAGCAGCAGCAGCAACAGCAGCAGCGGCAGCAGCAGCAGCAGCAGCAGCAGCAGCAGCATGAGTGGCCAATATTGCAGGATGATACTTTACCAATGTCAATTCCACCAATGACAAGGGAAACAGCGATGTCATCTTCACAGGGTGGTGGTCCTCCAGTTTATCCATCAGAGCTGTACGATTTTCAGACCATCCCTCCAATGCCAAGTTACCCTAAATGACTATTGATGTGCTTCTTTGAGCTGCAATTAACATACCAAGTGCAATAGAAGATTGTACAAAAATGCACATGATATAGTGCCATCCTCGCAGCATTTCAGTGCTCTAGCACCGATAGCCAGTGTCTTGATTGCACCCTCTAGACAATCCAATCCGGCTGCAAACATTCCCTATGAAACCATAGGAAGTTCAACTAGAAGCCCCAATTAATGCTAAACGTAATGACTCAAAGAATGGAGGAGCTGAACCTAATCTCATCGTTTTGTCAGTTGTTGACGATCTCGATATTCATAACACCTGCACAGGCTGGAAGGAAACATTACTGTACAGCATGGCGGAACATCCGCAGCAACCTGCACAGCGCACAGGCAGCCAAAACCTGACGTGTCTCTGCAACCAATCAACACGCGACCTCCAGCGTCGCTCGCGGAATTCTCACAACCAGCCGTGTTTCCGTACCACCGCAACGATAGTTGGGCTGTTGTGAGAATTGAGAATTTTGGCTGAATGCCTCACGAATACAGCGAAAAACTCTGCTGAAACCCTGGTGATTGTCTATATTTTGGGGTGCAAGGAACGATTACATACATATTTTGATCTGAGAATTCGCATCTGCCGCTTCTTGCGCCCCACCCCTGGCGGCTTTGCGAGCCGAGGCGCAGGCAACATTCGAAATCCTCAGGCTCCACCTGGGCACGGATAAATTTCTCCCAGTCGCGCGCACTGCCACGCAATGAGGCTTCCGGGCGCGTGCCATGGAGCGGTACACCGGGTTTCCGCGAGCTACAACATGTCATCCTCTATTCCCGCCTTTCGGCTGGAGAGGGTACAAGACATTAGGGTAGGGGCGAAAATAGATTCAGGCTGATCCGGCAAGAGCTTCCTGGCAGTTGTCGTAGCTCGCAAGCCGCGAGGGAGTCGTCCACATCGCGAAAGTCTGATGTAGCTGAGCGGCTGTGGCTTGCGCAAGTCCGGGCCCTTGCGGAGGCCTCTCCCTCCCCTCGCCCCCCGCTCGTCTTGGCAAGCGCGCGAGAAGCCTTTGATCGAATGGTTGTGTTCACGACGGGGTCATAGGCGTTTGAACACGACAGACGTAGTACAAAGTCAGCCCATCCATTGGCTCAGAAGTTATTTAGGCGCCTCAGAAATTTCCTCGCCTATCAGATTCTTGAGTCGACTTAAAAGACACCTCCGAAGGCTACCGAGTCGACCGTCGACTGTCACGTCCGACGTGAGTCATCGAGTTCAAGTCTTCAAATCGCATTTCAAGTCTTCAAGTCCAATCAAAGCCTCCATGCGTACAGCCGCCATGCGCATCCACGGCGGTTGCTGTTGCGCCGGGCTCGCGGCGGCGGCGCACCGCTGCGGTTCGCGATCGAATTCGACATTGCCACGCGCCGCCAGCGCGCGCCGCGCCGGAAGGGAACTTCTCCCTTCCGAGCCGCGTCGCCGGCCAATGCCAACTAACAGTGACCGTTTTGTGACCAGGCATGCCTCCTTGACGGCGATCTCCGTGCTTCTCGCTGCGCTGCTGGCGGCGAACGGCAGTGTCACCCCTGTCGCAGGTCAGTCATGCATCCTTCCACCTACTACCTTCCTTGCCTTCCGGTGTTTACCTCTCGCCCTCACAACTGGCGCCACTCCCGCACCGCTACCAGAATCAATACCGTATCTGTGACAGAATCATTCCCCCTCCGTTACTCTCTCCCTCTTCCCATCCTCTCCCCTCCCCCTTTCCTCTCGTCTCTCCCCCGTCTGGCCCCGCCGGTACCAGCCCAAAGCTATAATTGCAGCGCAAATCCCGCGGTGGCCTCGGTGACTCCCAAGTACGCGAACCGCTTCTTCCGGGTGATCAGCACCATCTCGAACCTCTACCCCATTCAGAACTGGGCCGCGGACACCCGCCTCCAGCCGGTTCTCACGCCGCTGCGCACCGAAGGCAGATGCAGTGAGTGCGCCGCCGATCTTTGAGACATGTTACTGCGCGCAGGTTGTTGAAAGGCGAACCGGCTCTTCCGGCTGATTAGCAACCTTTAGGCACGTAGTACGTACGAGGGCCAAACATTTCTGGGTGGCACCATCTCGAACATCTTTTCTTATCAAAACTGGGCCTAGAACACCCGCCTCCAGCCCATTCTCGCGCCGCTGCGCACCGAAGGCAGATGCAGTGAGTGTGGCACCGCGGCGGCGGCGGCCGCAGGCTGGTTTTCCGAGAGTTTCTTGGGAGGGAAAGGCCCCCACGTGAAGTTAGCGCGAGATGGATTAGACGCGGACACACCTGCTCGCGCAGTCACGCGCGAAAAAAAAAAAAAAAAAAAAAAAAAAAAAACGCGCAGCGAGCACACGCCGCAGAACAACGCCGCGATCACACAGGCTGGCGCGCATGTGCTGGCTGAAGAGACCCGGGGGAAGGGAGAGGGGGAGGGAGAGGGGGATGATTCTTTGAAGTGAGGGGATCAGAGCAATGCTTATTTTCGGTGCTAATCTGAAGAGTATATGTAATTTCTTGTCCCTCAACTCACCCCCCTCCCCTCGCCTTCCCCCTTTCACCCCCCAGAGGCATCATGGGCCATCACGGCAGTGAGCGCGGTGGAAATGGCGTACGCGTTAGTGGCTGACTCGGTGCCCTCCATGGCGCCCCCTCAGCGCCTATCACTACAGCAGGTGCGGAAGCTACTATCAAGCACGGGTTCTTAACCCGAGCAGTAACTGTTACTACTGAGTTAGTATTATACTACTGCTGATACCATCACGATATACGATGTACGCGTAGCTTGTACCTAAAGGCTGCTGCAGCGTCAGGTTCAGCAGGCGCGCTCAGCGCAATTCAAAACAGGCTGTTCTGTACTTTCTCCTGCTCTCCAACCCCCCGAGTAAACAGAAGTGTTTTGAGACGTCTCAAAACACTTCTGTTTACACGTGGCGCGCTCAGCGCAATTCAGAGCAGGCTGTTCTGTTCCGTACTTTCCCGTGCTCTCCAACCCCTCGACCCCTCACGTGCTGGACTGGACTGCAGGAACAGCAGTACCAGCAGCAACTGCATTGACGGCGGGTGGCCTCCGAATCACTTTTGAGAATTCTCAAGACTTAACTGGCTGTGGGTGGCCGGCGGCGGCGCGGGACTACATGGTGTGCCACGCGGCAGGCGAGGAGGGGGGCATCTCACAGCGTCAATTGCACCGTCAAAATCTCGGAGTGTTCCGTCCAGCGTAAAAAACGGAACCGTCAAAATTGCTTGCTCCGTCAAATCCAACTAAGTAACTCTCCTCCCCCCACCCGCAAACCCCACAGGTGCTGGACTGCAGCTACAGCACGAGCAGCAACTGCATCGACGGTGGGTGGCTGACGGCAGCAGCGCTGGACTACATGGTGGACGCCACACGCCAGTGGGGGCTGTTCCCAATTTGGCTGTTCTCAATGGGGCTGTTCCCAATGGGGCTGTTCCCAATGTGGAGGGCGTCTCATCGCCACAGCACCGATTCAACTCTCCTCCCCCACCCCGCAAACCCCTCAGGTGATTGACTGCAACAACAGCAGCAGCAACTGCGTTGACGGCGGGTGGCCGACGGCAGCGCTGGACTACATGGTGGACGCCACACGCCAGTGGGGGGGCCTCGCCGCCGAGACACCCTTCTTCCCGTACCTGCAGAGGCAGAGCAGATGCGTCCGGCGCAAGGTACGCCTGGGGGTGGTCTGCCAGGGGGAGGTGGTATTTGAGAAATCTCAATACCGCGGCAGTGGGGAGGGCTTTTCGCCGAGTTAGCCTTTTGAATTGTCTCAGAACTTAACTTTTATCACGTCGCCACGCGGCAGTGGGGCAGCCTCACCGCCGAGGCAGTGGGTCGCCTGGGGGAGGAAACTTTTAACACTAATATTTCACAGGCGTTACATGGGTGGTTTTTGAGTCGACTCAAAAGGCAGCGGAATGCCTGGGGGAGGCAACTTCTAACACCAGTATTTCACAGGCGTTACATGGGCGGTTTGCCTGGAAGAGGTACTACGCCTGGGGGAGGTACGCCTGGGGGAGGGTGCATCTGGGAACGGTGCCTTGCCCATGTATATTCTTATGACCTAGTGTCCTGCTCTTGTGCCCTGACCTTGCACCCCTGCCCATGTGCTCACGTGCCCATGTGCGCCCATGCGCCCATGCGCCCATGCGCCCATGCGCCCCTGCGCCCATGCCCAAGCGCCCACACTCATGCGCCCACGCCCATGTGCTCTGTCTGTGCGCCCATGCGCCCATGCCCCTGTCACCACGCCCATGCGCCCTCTCTGTGCGCCCCCTGCGCCCTCTCTGTGCGCCCCCTGCGCCCACAACCCTGCGCCCATACCCCTGCGCCCATACCCCTGCCCCCATACCCCTGCCCCCATACCCCTGCGCCGTGTCTGTGCGCCCAGGCGACGACCATAGGCATCACGGGGTACGACCAGGTGGACTTCTACAGCTGGTTTGGCCTTCTCCTTGCTGTCAACGTAAGCCTTGCTGTCAACATAAGGCTAAACGCCGACTAGGTATCACGTTAAGTCATGGCATGTACTGGTGGGCATCACGGGGTACGACCAGGTGGACTTCTACGGCTGGTTTGGCCTTCTCCTTGCTGTCAATGTAAGCCTTGCTGTCAACGCAAGCCTTGCTGTCAACGTAAGGCTAAACGCCAACTAGGTATCACGTTAAGTCATGGCAAGTACTGGTGGGCATCACGGGGTATGACCAGGTGGACTTCTACGGCTGGTTTGGCCTTCTCCTTGCTGTCAATGTAAGCCTTGCTGTCAACGCAAGCCTTGCTGTCAACGTAAGGCTAAACGCCGACTAGGTACCACGTTAAGTCATGGCAAGTACTGGTGGGCATCACGGGGTATGACCAGGTAGACTTCTACGGCTGGCTCGCCCTGCTGCTCGCTGTCAACGTCAGGCTCGCTGTCAACGTCAAGCCCGGTGTCAAAGTAAGGCTCGGTGTCAACGTCAGGCTCGGTGTTAACGTCAGGCTCGGTGTCAACGTCTGGCTCGGTGTCAACGTCAGGCTCGGTGTCAACGAAATGCTCGGTGTCAACGTCAGGCTCGGTGTCAACGTCAGGCTCGGTGTCAACGTCAGGCTTGGTGTCAACGTAAGGCTCGGTGTCAACGTCAGGCTCGGTGTCAACGTCAGGCTCGGTGTCAACGTAAGGCTTGGTGTCAACGTCAGGCTCGGTGTCAACGTCAGGCTCGGTGTCAACGTAAGGCTCGGTGTCAACGTCAGGCTCGGTGTCAACGTCAGGCTCGGTGTCAACGTCAGGCTCGGTGTCAACGTCAGGCTCGGTGTCAATGAAAGGCTCGGTGTCAACGTCAGGCTCGGTGTCAACGTCAGGCTCGGTGTCAACTTCAGGCTCGGTGTCAACGTCAGGCTCGGTATGCTTCCGTGCTGATGATGAATAGTACTTCTGTGACATTGCAGGTAAGAGGGCAGGTTTCTGAGGTGCCTAAATTATCATCCTTAGTCTCGGTGCTGGTGTGCACCCGTGCTGGTGTGCTCCCGTGCCGATTATAGATAATACTTCTGTGACAGTTCAGGTAAGAGGGCAGGTAACAGGGCAGGAAATTTGCACAAACAGTCTGGCTGTAGCTTCTTCACCCCTTACCTTCCTCCTTCCCCTCCGCCCGCACTTGCCAATCCGCCCATTCCTCATCTCTCATTCTCCTCTCCTCCCCTTATCATCTCTTTCCCTTATCCTCTTCTCCCCTTATCCTCTCCTACCCCTCTCCTCCCCTTCCTCTCCTCCCCTTTTTCTCTCCTCCCCTTATCCTCTCCTCCTCTCCTCCCCTTCTTCTCTCCTTCCCTCTCCTCTCCTCCCCTTCCCTCGCCCCCTTCCCCTCTCCTACGCTCCACCTCTCCTTCCCTTTCCTACTCACTCCCCTCCCCCCTTTGCCTATCTGCTCCAGACTCAGCCCACCATTGCCTTCGTGCTAGGCTCCTACCCCTCCTAATCCACCTTCCCTTCTCATCCCCTCCGCCTCTCCTTCCTTCCCTACCCACTACGCTGCCCCAACGCCTCTCTGCTGCAGACGCAACCCACCATTGCATTCGTGCAAGGCTCCTACCCCTCCTTCCAGACGTACACGCAGGTACGAGAAGCACTGTATGGTGTGTGTTTTGAGCCGACCCAGAAGCAGTCACCCCTCCTTCCAGACGCACTCTCAGAGGTACTGCACTGTTTTGAGTCCCTTTTGGGTTGACGCCACCGAGGCTCGTTGCAGGTTGTTTTGCTTCTCACAGGTAGCAGGGACTTTGCTTCCGCTCATGTGATGGGCAGTCATGGCATGTAGAAGCAATAGCACGCATGGCATGCAGCCTTGGCATGCAGTCATGGCATGTAGAAGCAAACGCATGGCATGCAGCCTTGGCATGCAGTCAACTGTGCTCATCCTTTCCCTTCTCTCCCCTCCTTTCCCTCATTCCTCTCTCCCTTCCACCTCTCCCCGTCCACATGCTTCCCCACTTCACAGGGCATATACAGCGACCCAGGGTGTGCAGCGGCAGGAGTGGTGGATCACAGCGTGCTGGTGATGGGGTGGCGCGAGAGGTACTTTTGGGTCGACTATAAAATGGTGCAAGAGGTACCATGCATTGCACCGTCCTCACCTTTCCCCTTTCCAACTCTCCCTGCTCTTCTCTCTCTCTCCCTCCACTTTGCTCCCTCGCTCCCACCCCAGGGCACCTACAGCGACGCAGGGTGTGCAGTGGCGGGGGTGGTGGATCACAGCGTGGTGGTGATGGGCTACAGCATCACGGCTGACAGCGCATTCTGGATCCTCCGCAACTCCTGGGGGGCCACGTGGGGCATGCAGGTGGGATGTGTGCTGTTAGCCTCACAGGGATGTACCGTCATGCTCCTAGTGCCACGTAACCGATTGCACTGTGTCACGTGCTCCTCCTCTTCCCGAGCCGTTTTTTCTTCTCCTGCTCTTTCCTCTTCCCTCTCTCCCCTCCCCTCTTCGCTTCCTCTGCATGTGTTCTCACTCTCTTTCTGCATTCTCACTCTCTTCATGCAGGGTTACATGCAAATGGCCTTTGAGGGAGGCGTTGGCATCTGTGGCATTCACTCAGTGCCGGCCCTCTACCCCATCATTAAGAGTGAGTAGATCTTCTTGCTTCTATCCAGAGCGCACGTGCACATGTGCACTCGCACGCACACTCGCACGCACACACACACGCGCACTCGCACACACACTCGCACACACACTCGCACACACACTCTCACGCACACTCGCACACACACTCGCACACACACTCGCACACACACTCGCACACACACTCGCACACACACTCTCACGCACACTCGCACACACACTAGCGCACAGTCGCACACACACTCTCACGCACTCTCACGCACACTCGCACACACACTCTCACGCACTCTCGCACACACACTCTCACGCACACTCGCACACACACTCTCACGCACACTTGCACACACACTCTCGTGCACACTCGCACGCACACTCGCACACACACTCGCATGCACACTCGCACGCACACACACACGCGCACTCGCACGCACACACACACGCGCACTCGCACGCACACTCGCACACTCAGCACCCAGTGACATGTCAGCACCTTGAACCCCCTTTCCTTGCCCCCTCCCCACACACCAGCGCCCTCGCCATGCCTGTCACCTCAGAACCCATGTGGGGGAGGCACATGTCAGGACCTTGGGAACGGCCAGTACACATGCATGTGCGAGGAGCCGTACTTCATAGCCGTTACTGACAAAGGCGGCGCGCAGACGTGTGTTTTTGGTGAGTGGCGCCCACACCTGTGTGTTTGGCGAGATGGGGTGCGGGCATGGGTGGTTGAGATGGGGTGGAGAGGAGGCATGGTTGAGATGGGATGGTATCCAGGAAGCACAAACGTGACACTCGTTTGAGTTGCAGGGTGCTTTTGAGAATCCTCAAAACACTATGAACAAGGCTCACACTGATTTCCCCCTACTTGTCCCCCGTTTTTTCCCACCTTTCCCCGCTTTTCACCCACTTCTCCCCACTTGCCATCATCTTCCCGCCCTTCCCTTCCCATTACAACACATGACCTTACATTGGATCTCTCCTCCCTCCCTCTCCCTCCCAATCCCTCCAACTTCCCTTGCGCCTCCTCCCCTCTCCCCCGACCTCTTCCCCTCTCCTTGCCCCCGCCCCTCGTCCCCTCCCCACCGCCCACTCGCCCCCTCCCACTTTCCCTTTTCCCACTCGCCCTCTCCCACCTCCCCTCTCCCCACTCGCCCCCTCCCACGTCCCCTCTCCCCACTCGCCCCTTCCCGCTCGCCCCCTGCCAGCTGACGTGTGCAGCCTGCAGGATGACAATCCCTGTGCGGTCGGCACGTGCATCAACGACAATGCGGGCGGCTTCTTTTGTCTCTGTCCGCCGGGATTTGACCAGGGGTACCGGCCCAATGGCGCTTACACATGCGTCCCAAGTAAGTGTTCATGCGGGCGGCTTCTCTTGTCCTTAAGATATTCATGTTTCTTTAGGAGCCACAGCAAATCACATCCATCCCATCCCATGTATGCACACTTTACTTCTGAACCATCACTGCAGCTTCCTTTCTCTTGTGTTCTTCTCGCCTCTCAATCACCACTCCTCCATTCCTCTCCTCTCTCCTCTCCTCACCTCCCCACTTCTTGCTTCTCACTCACCTAACCACACTTATCCGTCCCTCCGGAACCTGTTCACCTTTTGAGGCGCCTCAATACTCCTCCCTTCCCCACTTCTTGCTCCTCTCTCACCCTAACCACACTTCTTCGTCCCTCTTCAACTTGTTCCCCTCCCTCCCGTCCCCTCTCCACCTGACTCTTTCCAGCCTCCAACACAACCACCACCCTTTTTTTCAGCCTTTTTTTTTTGTCTGTCCTCCCTGCATTCCTGCAGCCTCCAACCCCTCATACACCGTCGTCTTCCCAATAGACATCGACTGCCCGCTAGTCTACCAGCTCTACGGCCTCACGGAGGAGGCGTTTCTTGCTCAGAACCCCAACCTGGTGAGCTCTCCCTCTCCGCTACCGCTTCTCCCTTCTTAAAAGTGGACCTGTCCACTTCTCTCTCAAAAGTGACTCCTAATAGTATATCTCGCTCACAGCCGCAACCGCTTCACCCCGCGTCTACCATACAAACCCTTCGGCCATACAAACCTTTCTGCCTCTCAGAACTCGAACTCGTGCTACTCACACCCCAACGCACCCACCCCACTCCATCCCACCTCACCCCACCCCACCCCACCCAACCTTTTATCACCTTTTGAATAACAGAATATGGATCACTGCATGACCATCCCTGCCAACACAGAAGTGAGCATGCTGCCGCCCCTCACGGGGTCGGTGCAGTGCGGGCTGTTCTACTTGTGGTCACTCCACCCCCACCCCACCCCGCCCCACCCCACTGCACCACACCCCACCGCACCCTACCCCACCGCACCCCACCCACAGAGCATGGACCACTGCGTGACCATCCCCAAAAGCACGTACGCGAGCGTGCTGCCGCCCCTCATGGGGTCGGTGCAATGCGGGCTGTTCTACTCGTGGCCTGGTCACTGGTGCAACTCACAGCCCATCCCATCCCACCCCACCTCACCCCACCCACAGAGCATGGATCACTGCGTGACCATCCCCAAAAACACGGAAGTGAGCGTGCTGCCACCCCTCATGGGGTCTGTGCAGTGCGGGCTGTTCTACTCGTGGACGGCGAATGACACATGCAAGGGCGTCGCGGGCTTGTTCTCGCTCACAGTGGCCGGCTTTCTTCGTCTCAACCCCGGGATCAACTGCACGAGTAAAACCGCCTGGAATGCTCCGACTGTGAACCAGCAGGTGAGATTCGGTACAGTGTGGTGCTTAATGGTATGGCGGCCCAGTTGGCGGTGAATCCGCTGTGGGGCTCGTCCCGGAGATCAACAGATTGTTGTGTGCTGACACGCCCATGCCCATGCCCATGCGCACGGAAGGTGTATCTGAGTAGCTTCGGAAAAAAAAGAAGAACGAGGCGCCTCAAAGCTAGTCTGCTCAGTGTTTTTGAGAATTCTCAAAAACACTCTGCAAAAAAAAGAAGAACCAGGCGCCTCAAAACATGAGACGACTTGGCACTACGAAAGTGGGCTCGACTCGGAGATGAACAGCTTGTGAGCTGACAGACCTGCACATGCGCACGGGGGGTAATGGGGCAGACCTGCCCTTGGGCGCGCAGCTGTGCATGGCAATAGGCTACGGGGCAGACCTGTTGGGTGCGCAGCTGTGCATGGCACTAGGCTACGGGGCAGACCTGCCCTTGGGCGCGCAGCTGTGCATGGCACTAGGCTACGGGGCAGACCTGCCTGCACCGAGGTAGAGTTTTATGCGCCTCAAAAACCACTTCCCTTCTTCCTCTCTTCCTGCCCTTGTGTGTGCGCAGCTGTGCGTGGCATTAGGCAACGGGGCAGACCTACCCATGTGCACGGCATGGTACACAGTGATAGCGGGGGACATATGTCCGAGCATCATGGCAGATCACTGTCCCCTCTTCCCACCTCTACACACTCTCCTTGCCCTCCACGCAGCTGTGCGTGGCATTAGGCAACGGGGCGGACCTACCCATGTGCACGGCATGGTACACAGTAAAGGCAGGGGACACGTGTGCGGACATCATGGCGGATCATTCTCTCAACGACACCACATTCTTTGCACTCAACCCGGGGCTGGGCTGTGACAGCCTCTTCCCCTCCGTTGGGGGAAGCCTCTTCCCTTCCTTCAGTGGCAGCGGCCGCGGCTGGAGTGGGGATGGCGTGCAGGTGAGCAGTGGAGTGCGGTGAAGGTGGGTGAGGGTATGGGGGGTGAGTTTCTTTACTTTCTTCGCACTCAACCCGGGGATGGGCTGCGACAGCCTCTTCCCCTCTATCGGGGGCGTAAGGGGCAGCCTCTTCCCGCCCTTCAATGGCAGCGGCCAAGGCTGGAGTGTGAATGGCGTGCAGGTGAACGGTGGGGAGCGGTGATGGTGCTGACTGCAGTATACGCCCATCCATCCCATCCTTCTACCACCATTTACCCAACCATTTCCCCCTCACTAGTATACGCCCTTCCAACTTTCCAGGTTGCGTTTTCATGCACTATTGGACTACCCTCCACGCCCATCCATCCCATACTTCTACGTGCGATAACATATTTTTAGGCGACTCAAAAGTCGTTGTCATGCATGATTTGAGTATTCTCGTGTGACGAGTCGCTTTTTTAGTTGACTCATCATACATGCATGATTAGAGTATTCTCCATGCCCTTCCAACCCAAACTTCTACCACCATTCCACGCCCATCCATCCCCATCACAAGTGTGAGTGTCTCATAATACATTGCCAATGCACCCAGCCCATTGCCTCGCTCTCACGTCGTTTCCTGCACACGCCTATCTTCCCCCTTTTATGCTCTTATCTTCCCCTTTTTATGCTCCCATCTTCCCCCTTTTATGCTCCCATCTTCCCCCTTTTATGCTCCCATCTTCCCCCTGTTATGCTCCCATCTTCCCCCCTTTTATGCTCCCATCTTCCCCCTTCTATGCTCCCATCTTCCCCCTTTTTATGCTCCCATCTTCCCCCTTTTATGCTCCCATCTTCCCCCTTTTATGCTCCCATCTTCCCCCTTTTATGCTCCCATCTTCCCCCTGTTATGCTCCCATCTTCCCCCTTTTTATGCTCCCATCTTCCCCCTTTTTATGCTCCCATCTTCCCCCTTTTATGCTCCCATCTTCCCCCTTTTATGCTCCCATCTTCCCCCTTTTATGCTCCCATCTTCCCCCTTTTATGCTCCCATCTTCCCCCTTTTATGCTCCCATCTTCCCCCTTTTATGCTCCCATCTTCCCCCTTTTTATGCTCCCATCTTCCCCCTTTTATGCTCCCATCTTCCCCCTGTTATGCTCCCATCTTCCCCCTTTTATGCTCCCATCTTCCCCCTTTTATGCTCCCATCTTCCCCCTTTTATGCTCCCATCTTCCCCCTTTTATGCTCCCATCTTCCCCCTGTTATGCTCCCATCTTCCCCCTTTTTATGCTCCCATCTTCCCCCTTTTATGCTCCCATCTTCCCCCTTTTATGCTCCCATCTTCCCCCTTTTATGCTCCCATCTTCCCCCTGTTATGCTCCCATCTTCCCCCTTTTTATGCTCCCATCTTCCCCTTTTTATGCTCCCATCTTCCCCCTTTTATGCTCCCATCTTCCCCCTTCTATGCTCCCATCTTCCCCCTTCTATCCTCCCGTCTTCCTTCTGTGCTCCACGCCCATCCATCCCCATCGCAGGTGTGTGTGGCTGCACACATCGTCAATGCACCCAGCCCATTACCCTCGCTTTCACATCGTTCATGCCACTGCCTATCTTTCCCCCTCTGTGTTCAACCCCCATCCATCCCCATCGCAGGTGTGTGTGGATGCATACATCGTCAATGCATCCGGCCCATTCACCCCTCGTTCACTCCGCGAGCTCTCCTCCACTTCCTCATCCCCTTCTTCCTCCTCCTCCTCTCCCTCGTTGTTCTCAACACGGGGAAGACGGCTAGGTCCCTACTCCTCTTCCCACACATCACAACCCTCCCTGCCTCGCCTCCCGCCCCTCATCCCTTCTCTCTCCGCCCAACCAATGAGAGGGCGCCAGCTGGCGGTGTCCAAGGCGCCATGCTTGAAGTACTACTATGTGACGAAGGGGGACATGTGTGCGCGCATCATAACGCTCAAGTTCCAGAACAGTGCGCAGAAGTTGTCAGAGCTGAACAACGGATATGTGTGCGTTAATAGCAAGCTCTATGTGGGGCTCTCGCTTTGCACCCGGAGGTAGGAGTGCCTTTGATGCGCCTCAGAAGGTGCTCTGCATTGGAAATTGTTGGAGCTGAACAACGGATACACATGCAGCAACGACAGGCGCTCTGCGGGGCTCTCGCTTTGCACCCAGAGGTAGGAGTGCGTGATTTCAAGACGCCTCAAAGGGTGATGTGCATGGTGGTGGTAACTGCGTGCCAGTCTCGATTGCTCCTTGCTGGCCCTTGTGAGGGCTGCTGGAGGGGTAGACTCGATGTTGGAGTGCAAGCAAGCAGAAGATAGGGTGTTGTTTGCATCCCTGATGTGTATTTCCATCTGCAGTTGGTGGGGAATAAATGAGGGAATGACTCGCATCGAGCTTTGGGTGGCGTTTTCATTGGCTGTTGCAGTCAGTGGGCTGTCAGGGAGGGCTGCCTTGGGGCTTTGTTTTATGTACTCTACCTTTCTAACTTGTAATGTATTGGGTTGATTGGATAAAAACTTTGCTGTGAATTGTGGAGCTTGGGTGACCAGTAGTGTGTTTCTCATTGCCGCAATGCAGCATGGGTGTGGATTGACTTGGGCATGTTGGCAGTACTAGAAACAATCACATCAACATGCTGTCACACTAAATTCATAATCACACCGCACTAGACCATGCCTTCCGTCACATGATGTCTTCACCCCAACATAATATTTGTAACGTTGATCATCTTTATGTTGGGCTAGCACGTTGGCACACGGCTGTAGGGCAGCATGCTTTAAAGGCGCCCCAAAAGGTGCTGTGCATTGTTGTGGGGCCTGGAGGGGTAGACTGAGAGTTTACAGAGTGTCTAACCATGGTGTCAAAGTGTCTGCTTGGACGCAAGTGGAAGATATGCATCGACCAAATGAGAGCAGCCTAGGGTCTTGGCTGGTGTTTTGAATGGTTCTTGCAGCCAGTGGAGTATCAAACCTTACTGTGTTCCCACGCCACACCTTATCCAAGCCGAGTGTGCTCAGGAATGGTGTACTCTATCGAGAGAGTTGGTACAAGTACAAAACCTATGTTGGCTACCCCACTATAGCCTACCCATTATACCATAGCATATATATAGTTTGACACACCCCCATAGGCAAAGTGGGGGAGAACAAGGGGTCACAAGACCAGTCAACAAAAACAATGCAAGCTCAGGGTGGATCACAACGTCACCACACACTACGAGCACAAGCAAAAGGGCCACAATGCCAGTTCACATGTAGAGGTTATGCAACTATAGTACAGTGATCACAATCTAGCAAGTGTAAACATGCAGGTAGATATGTATAGATCACAGTACAACCAAAGTCTACAGCAAATGAGGAAACATAGGCACCAGGCCTAGAGCAGTGCATAAGCGCTAATGATCACCAGCAGGAAGGGCCTTGGTGAACACATCAGCCGTGTTCGCCCGGGTGGGCACGTGGGCGACACGAAGCTGACCACGCTGCTGCAAATCTCGAGCAAGGAAGTAATGCAGAGCGATGTGCTTCGTTCTGTGCTCCAGTCTATGGTCCTCACACAAGGCAATGGCAGCCTTGTTGTCGACGTACAGAACTTGAGGAGAACGAGGCCTCTCTCCCAAGTCGGTCAGCAGGTAGGTGAGCCAGCGTAACTGCTGTGCAGCCATGGCTCCCGCATAGATCTCAGCCTCCCAACTGGAGCTGAGAACAGTTGATGAGCAGGTAGACCACCAGGAAACAGAGCCAAAGCCAAGGCTGAACGTGTAACCCTGTGACGACTGCTGCGTAGCCAGGTCGTCAACCCAAGAAGCGTCTGAGTGCCCAGTGCCCAGTGCTCTGCCCTCCAAGCACGAGCCCCATGCCCGATGTACTGCACAAGTAGCGTAGTACCCTTTTTGCAGCATTGAAGTGCACCTTTCGGTGCCTACCAGGAGCCACGTAGCGTGCCAGAAGGCGAGGGTACGCAAGGTCAAGACGAGTGCAGGTCATCAGGTACATGAGGCAGCCCACTAGCACTGGGTACGGGCCACTCGGCTCTACGGACTCGTCCGAAGGTGGAGCTAAGAGCGAGTGACCTGTGGCAAGAACCAAGTGAAGCCGAAGCGCTGAAGGACCTGCTGCACCATGTGTGACTGAGTCAGTGTGATAGTGCGCCGTGCTCTGTCCTGGGTGATCAGCAGACCAAGGTAGCTGCGCAGCTCACCCACGTCTGTGCACCTGTGTCTCTTCTGCAGCTCCGACTTCACAAGGGCAAGAGACTCACTGTCAGCAGTGGCAAAGACCAAGTTGTCAACGTACACGAGGATGTAGAATGGCGGCAACGAAGTGTCGGTATGAAGAAACAGCGATGGGTCAGTGGAAGGTGCAAGCCCAAGAGCCGCAAGTGTCATCCTCAGTGTGTCGTGCCACTTACGAGGCGCCTGACGTAGACCGTAGACTGGCCGACGGAGGCTCCACTGGGTACCAGGAGGGAACGACCCAGTGAAGCCAGGTGGGCGGAGATCTCCTTGTGCAGACTGCCCTGTAAGAACGCTGTGCTGAAGTCCAGAGAGTGAAGCTCGTAGTCACGCTGAGCGGCAACGTGCGGCAGCACCCGAAGAGTGGTCATTTTTGGGGTGGGGGAGAAGGTCTGAAAGAAGTGAACTTCCTGTCGCTAACTGAAGCCTCGTGCAACGTAACAAGTCTTGAAGAGAGGGGGAGAACCCGGCGGCCACTTCACCCTGAAAATCCACATGCCATCGACTATGTTCGCCCTAGGAGGGGGAACTGCATCGACGTAAGTGCCTGTGGACTTCTAAGATGCCATCTCTGCGTCCATGGCTGTCTGCCACCGAGAGGAGTACTCACCCGTGATCGCCTCAGCGTAAGAGCGCGGGGTCGGGATGTCTAGAGCATCCGGGTCTCCCTTAGGGGCAAGCAGCATGGCCACGAGATGAGGCGCAGCGGCTGCAAGACACTTTAAGTCCTGCTGCCTGTCCTTAAGGACGTCCGTGCCAAGAGCACACTCACCCCCGACAGACGGAGGACAGACAAACTCAGACTCAGCAACAAGAC